TTAACCGTGACGGGATCCTTGGGAGAGATCTGTTCATCATCATCTTCTTCTTCGGACGAAATCTCCTCTACGTCGCTTGAGGAAGCACTCGGTGGCTCTTCCAAAGCTTCCTTTGCCATCGGAACTTTCACAGAGTGAGACGAATCGAGATCGGAAATTTTAGGGTTTGAGGAGAGACTAGTAAAGAGGAAGAGAGAGAGGGTTTGTGGAGGCTTACTTATAAATGGTGGCGATACAGTCGAGAGATATAGATATCATCAAAAATATAAATTTTCACTATATGATTTGGGAAAATGGCATAATAAAACCTCCAAAATTGAGACCACTAACACTTTAAACTTCCAAAGGTTAGCACGGACACTTTAAATCTTTAAATTAACAATATTGACATATTAAACCACCAAACTATAGATTTTGGTCGCGCCGACGTTTTACGGGACGGAATAGTTAACTCCGTTAACGGCATACTTAACTATGTTTTATTAATAAAAACGTGTGTCTTTTTGCAATTTAAAATAATTAAAACGTTCCACCTTTTGTAAATAAAAATCCCAAATGCTAGGGTTTTTGCGATTTGGGGGAAAAATTAAGAAACAAAAAAATTAGAGACGAGGAAATCTCAGAGCAACGAAAGAGGAGGATTTGTGTGAAGAACAGATGCAATTGAGTCATAATGAGGTAATCATGATTTCTCTGTTCCGATTTGAACGATTTTGTTTATGGTGTTTGATTTAGAGTGAGTTTCGAATTATGGGTAAGTTTCGAATTCTGGGTAAGTTTCGGTCTCGAGTTTCGATTAGTTTCGTTTAGGGATAGATTATTGTGAAATTTGCTTCTATTGACCAAGTGTTGGTTAATTTTTGTTGTGTTGTATATACAGTGGCCACGAAAGTATAACATTGAAAATCCACTATAAAGGAAGTATGAAGAAAGTAGATGAAAATTACATCTACGTAAGGGAAATGGGTTATAAGACTGTTAATTGGAAATTTTCAGAGATAAAGTGGAGTAGGTTTGCAGATTTTATTAAGAAGGAGTTGGTGAATCCACACATCAATTTGCTTTGGTACCAAGATGCAAGAGACGATATAAAGAATTTGAAGTATGCGTTTGATTTTGTTGATGATATCTCATAGATGTGTACGTTTGGGAAAAGCGTTGATATTGGTGAGATTGAAGTTTTTATCGACCATGATTGCGGAGAGGATAAAGAAAATTATGAGAAGAATGCAGAAGCTTGCA